CAAAAAGAATTTTAGACCAATATCCCTGATGAACTTGATGCAAAAATCCTCAATAAAATACTGGCAAACGGATTCAGCAACACATCCAAAAAGCTTATCCACCATGATCAAGTGGGCCTTCACCCTGGGATGCAAGGCTGGTTCAACATATGCAAATCAATAAACGTAATCCAGCATATAAACCAGAACCAAGACAAAACCCACAATGATTATCTTCAATAGATGCAGCAAAAGGCTTTGACAAAATTCAACAGCCGCCCTTCAATGCTAAAAATGCTCAATAAATTCGGTAATTTGATGGAACGTATCTCAAAATCATAAGAGGTATTTATGACAAACCCACAGCCAATATCATACTGAATGGGCAAAACCTGGAAGCGTTCCCTTTGAAAACCTGGACAAGAGACAGTATGCCCTCTCTCACACCACTCCTATTCAACATAGTGTTGGAAGTTCTGGCTAGGGCAATCAGGCAAGAGAAAGAAATAAAAGAGCCTCCATTTGCTTTGTGATATTTTATTACCTTGTGAAGTATGTGATCTCTGTGACCCACATCCTATTCGTGCACTCCCTCCCCTTTTGAAAATCGCTAATAAAAAGTTGCTGGTTTTATGCTCAGGGAACATCACAGAATCTGCCGACATGTGACATCCAGCTTTAAATTTCTCTCTCTTGTGCTCCTTCCCTTTATTTCTCAAACTAGCCGAGACACTTAGGAAATAGAAAAGAACCCAGGTTAACCATTGGGAGTGGGTTCTCCCGATACATACGGCCTAATCCTAATAAAGAACTAAGATGCTAAGTTGGTAAAAGACTTCGTTCGCAGGAAACTAAAAGATGAAGGGTTTCTTAAGATTAGTCAACACTCCTTGTCAAAGGACCAGGCATTTTGCATTTTGATAAAACTACTCACTAGTAACAACAGACAAACCTGTGCAGGAAGCACAGAGAAACAGAAGGAAAACAATTCCACAGGTGTGTGTGGCTGCCAATGAAATGAATGTATAAAAGAAGTCAAGTCTCGGAGCTGTCACCCAAAGGAGCCGTGCACGTGGCTGGCTGGAAGGTGAGCCAGGCAGCTATCTACAGAGTTCAGGGTGAGCTCCCTTTTTGCTGAGCAGGACACAGTGACTGGCTCATGCTGGCCTGACCACAGTGAAGCTGAGGACTTTGTTCAATGGTGAGGGAGACTCTTTCTTTCCTGCAGCCTTAATTTTGCAAACCAGGAAACATGGAGCCCTCCCTGGTTTAACCTCTTTAATTTGCATTAATGTAACAGCCCCCTAACTGGTCCTCTCTTCCAATCCATCTGAGCTAAATGATTTCAGAATAAACTTCCCAAATTACAAATTCATCAACCAAGCAAGTTATTATGCTTAACATTTTAGTGTCTCTCAAAAACTTTCAGGATGAGATTTAAACACCCCAGCTTAATTTACGAGGCACTGCTTCACTTCTCTCAGCACACAAACATTGCTCTGGCTGTCATCTTTGCATTGTGTCTGTAGAGTGGCATGGGAGGCTGAGGAGGCACCCATCTACCACTCACCACTCTCGTGCCCTTCTAGGCAGCTCCTTGGTGACACCTCTTGTGTAGTCACACTTGCTGTCCACAGTTCCTCTCCTTGCATTTGCCCTTGAATTCATTCTAATCAGTTCCCCCCACCCCTATACACGGAAAATACTCTTTCAGCATCTCCAATGACATCTGCCTTGCTAAACCCAATTGTTCACTTACAGTTAGCAATTAACACAGCTCATCACTCTGTCCTTCTGAGAGCTTCCCACCCTGGGCCTCCTGAACCTTGTACTATATTCTCATGGTTTTCTTCTGTCCTCTCAGGGCACCTCTTCTTCGTCTTCTTTATTGGTTCCTCCTTATCTCCCTGGCCTGAAGATTAGATAACCCAGTGCTCACACCTGTACCTCTTAACCTCACTTCCTTGGTAACCTCATCCAGTTTCAAAGCGTCAAATACCACCCACACTTTGCAGCTCCCAAACGCATACCTCTAGCTTGGACCTCTCGCCTGACCT